TTCGGATAAAAAAAGAATTATCCAAATCGGTCCACTAGCGGCGGAGTTATGCCGTAACACACATAAAAAAAAATAAAAAAAAAATATACCGTCGAATTGAATACCTCCTTCTTTTGGGAAGTCGGTCAAAAAGAATTATTACATCCGCAACAATGTCCTTTAGATCTTAACTTCACCGTAGAAGTTAATAAAATCTCACTTATGTTTGCAAAATGCCAAACTACCATTGCTATATCTATCCTTTCCCTTGTTATAACTAACATGAAAATAAGAATTCCATATTTTATTTATTAAAAAGAATTACAAGGAAATGTCATCCGTTTAAGAAGGGGTTTTTAGAGATCAAGTAAAAAATAATACAAAGCAGGTAAACAGAAAACAAGATAGTAAATGTCATAATAATAATTAATTCATCCTTTGGTAGCTATTATTTAATAAAAATCATATCCAAACTAATAATACTGTCTCATATTACTTTAATACTAAAGTTCGCGTAATCTTTAAAAAAAATCGCCGAAAGCTTATTTTTAAATTTTCTGCACGTTCTGAGAAGGGCTTGGTATTTTTTTACCGGTGAACGACCTATCGAAAAACTTAAAAACCACAACCAAATATCTTCGAATTTGATTTTTATATTAGTTTGGTAAATAATTTGTTGTATGCATTTTACCTCGTCAATTTATTCGGGGTTTGTAATTTCCTTGGTTTTAGTTATTATAAATGTAGGAAACTTCTATGAAGATATTTTCCTTAAAGAAAGCGACGTGTGAAAGCATGAGTCATTCTGTAAATTTTTTACACTCTCTATATTTAAGTAACCTACATCCTGGCATCGAGAGTAAGGAGCCGATTATATTTTGATGTTTTAATTAACTTCTTAAAATTAACTTTCTTTTAAAACCAAAACGAGCAACTTTTTAAACCTACTTTGATAACGGTGAAACAAAACTCGTTGAAAATAATTGTCAACTTATATTCATAAGTACATCTAGAACGACAAGCTCGAACCTGCCCTTAATTAGTACAAATTAGTCCTTAACCATTCATCCTGGCCCAAAGATTAGTTAAGTGCACAGACATCAATGAATTACCTCGCATTATTAACGGGTGTTTGATATTTTCCTCTACCATAAAGAGCTTTTCAAAATTGGCTGAAGTGTTATGCCTATCGGAAACAAACCACGTTAATGTTGACAAATATTGACAAAACCTTGATTTATTATTATTTTAACCTTCGTGTTAGTTCAAAATTCACCTTCATATTCAATAAATATCGCATATTGAATTATTAACTAAATATTAATCGAAATAACACAACATATAAAGTTAGAAGAAAAAAATAACATCTGATATCATTTATTGACAAGATTTAAACCGAAAAGTGTTAAATGTTTTGTTTTTTTATTTAAAAAGGATGAATCTAACAACGCATCTGCCAAATTTATACCATCTTACATTATAAAACATAACAATTACTAGCTATATAATTATTAGGTAATTGCATAGACGCACGGAAGCGCGGAAAGAAAGAAATGATAAATTATGACGGTAAATAACATGTCGAGCACTTCAATACCACAGATAACAACAGTTTTTACATTTTTTTTATTCACAGCCAGTATTCATTACGATTATAAGAAAAAAAACGGATATATCTATAAAAAATATTTTTAGATGGACAAAGTACATATAACTAATTTAGATTAAAAGTCACTTTTTTAAAACTATATGTAATGAAGATCTGCAATATACTATTTGCTACGTAATAAACATGCACAAGAAAGAACATACTTAACCCATATATTATGTCTTGTTATACCTACGACTCAATCTTTACATAACATATTATGTAGAATGAGACTATTGAAAGTGTAGTAAATATGAGTATGTATTTATATTTATTTGTTATTGTTACCTTTATCTGAACTTGAACTTTAATGCGTATAAATGTGAACGTAATTCATATAAATGTTTTATTGTTATTCATATTTTTTGCATTTGATGATGAAATATGTCGGCTTATCTATTTAAAGTTAATTTACTTTCTAAGCAACTATACTACGATTGTCTATATTTATTCCATATATAGTATTCGCCCGGGACTCCATTCGCGTGGAATTAAAAAAAAAACCAAAAGCAAGTAGCCTAAGTGTTCTTCCAGGATAACCTCTACATCTATACCAAATTTCATTGTAATCCGTTTAGACTACAACTCTAACAAACATCCATACATCCATCTAAACTTTCGCATTTATAACATTAGTACGATTAGTATGATGTGTTCACATTTAGAATATTTATATATGCTTTCATCTATTAACTTAAAAATTTAACAGTCCGTAATTAATTCCGTATATGCAGCGTGTATAGAATTTTCTACACGTATACATATATAAAAAGTAAACTTATGCAACACGGTAATTAAAATATGAAGAAAAACCATGCACCAATTAATTTATATTATAAACAATAGAACGATTAACTTTAACAATCATACTAAGAATAAGCGACATTACTTCAATTAGAACACGTGCCAAGAAAAAAAAAACAAAACTAATAAAAGACAATCTCAGACCAATATAATACTTACATGTCTGAGTAGCTTTAAGCCTTTCAATTGAAAACCCAGTCATTTGATTCTAATGTGCGTTAAACTTTTTAAATGTGACATACCCATGGTTAAGATTCTAACCATCACTCGTTTAATGGTTATACATCAACCATCTACTAATGAAAGTTCCCTCGAAATCGGTAAAAACGGCTTTGCAGCTAGAAAAAATTGAATAATATTAATATCGCTATAAGAAGATACACAAATACATAATGTTCCAGAAAACCTACGATTTTATTATATGTATAGATATAATTACACGAGAAAGGAACACTAATCGGCCGTATAAAGACCATCGGACTAGCAAGACAACGAGACTAATTTATAACAGCCATAAATTATAGAAACATATTGAAGTGTGAACTTTTATATTTCTTTTAATCGTGACAAGCTTACGGAAGATATAAAGAGTATAATTTCATTCACTATAATAATAATCACGTATTAGAATTAAAAAGATATTGATATTCTCGTAAGCGACATCCCGCACATGACATGCATCTCTATAGTCCATTATCATTTATTTTTACCTAATAATTTATGCTTTCTCACATTACCGAAGAACGAATTTGAATTTACGTCATCTTTTCTGAGACTATGACGTCATTGATACGTGGATACACTTCAACCTATTAGCTTTAACATCATAAATAAAAATTAAGACAAAATAAGGAAAAAACACTGTTTTATAAGATTTTTACTTCGAACATTAACTTTGAAATACGAAAAAGGGACAAAACATAATGCGATCTTACACCCAATATTGGTACGTACATTTTTAATTTTACGGAATTAAAAAGATGAAACTAAAGAAAAATGGGGACACAAATCAGATGTTCTGATTGTATTTCCAAACGGCTTATACAGAGTGTGTCTATTTCTCTTCTGTTAAGGATCTGTAGTTATAAATGTTTTTAACATTTAGCACTTGGAATTTTTTTTTAGATAGGCATTAAAGATATGCAAAAGACTTTCTTAAGATGTGATTATTATTTCCGGTTAGCGCATTACTCTGCTAATGAGCACAAGCTTCGAAAGGTTTTTTAGAAAA